AAGAACTATAAAAAAAATGGGTTGAGGCGCCGGGTTAGTTGCCCACACTCGCAAAACCCCACCCACTATGACAAAGCAAAGAAAAAGAAAACCAAACCCTCCCTAATGTTGACGACCCCCGCAAACGTATAAAGTACCACGATCTGCGAATCTGCACTTGGAATGTGCGCACGTTGTACAGAAGAGGCGCAGTGTTCGCTTTGGCGGATGTACTCAAGAAGAACAAAGCCGATATTATTGCCTTACAGGAAATGGGATGGAAAGGGACATGCGAAAGAGACGATTACGCACTGTATTATAGCTGCCATGAAACGAGACTTTAATTTGGCTGCGGATTTATGGTTAACATGAGAATAAAATACCTCGTATCCAGATTCACTCCAGTAAATGAGGGAATTGCTATAATCCGCATAAAAGCGAAGTTCTTCTACATCAGACTTATTTCCGCCCATGCTCCGGCCGAAGACAAAGACGAGCAGACCAAAGACATATTTTACGAGCGCCTAGAAACATATCGCTGCCCTGGGCAAGACATTAAAATTCTGCTAGAAGATTTTAATGCAGAAATCTGAAGGGAAAATATCTTTGGCCCCACCGTCGGAAAATTCAGCCTTCATGAAGAAACATCTGACAACGGCATGAGGTTGATTGCCTTTGCTGCAACAAAAAACATGATAGTTAGCACCACCAGATTCAAGCATCTCGATATAAACAAGGCCACCTGGATTTCTCCTGATCAAACAACGAGAACTCAAACTGATCATGTTGTGATAGACGGAAGGCATTCATCCAGTGTATTAGACTACCTTGTAGCAGCCAAGGTTCGCACTCGTCTTAATGTTGCAGCAAAGGTGCGATTTAACACAACACGGAAATTCAACGTCGAAAAGCTGCAAAGCAAACTGGTAGCCGAGGCCTACTCCGCTCAACTTATCCACCTACTTGATGAAAGCACTTTTTGTCCAGATAAAAGTATAGAAGCACAATGGCAAAGAATTGCCCACTCCCTACAGACTGCACCAAAAACAACACTTGGCTACCAAAAACCACCACCACGAAACCCATGGTACGATCAGGAATGTCTTAATGCTACTGATGTAAAAAACGCAGCGTATAGGGCAACCCTGCAGACAGTAACAACACGTAATGTGATGGAGAATTATCGGGAGAAAAGAAGAGAGGAGAAACGTGTTTTTAGAAAAAAGAAGAAAGAACAAGAAAAACGTGAGAGTGAGCAAATCGAGATGTACAGGAGTCAGAATGAAGTCCGGAAATTTTACCAACGAGTAAAACACTAAACCGAAGGCTTTGGTGCAGGCACATACTCCTGTAGACAGCGTGTTGAGGATTTGGAAGGAGAAAAAACTTGAAAAACTTCTGGTATCAAATAGTGGCGATAAAGAGAGAGGCCCCATAACCAATAAGGGATGATGGTATAGAGTGTATACCACCTAGCCAAGATGAGGTCATAAAAGCAATTAATCGGTTCAAGAAGAATAAAGCAGCAGGAGTCGATGGGTTACCAGCCGAACTATTCAAGACTGGTGGTTAAATGCTGGTCAGGAGCATGCACCAGCTGGGTAGTATAATTTGGCTAGAGGAATGCATGCCCAATGATTGGAACCTCAGCATAATGTGTCCCGTGTACAAAAAAGGATACAAGACGATATGTGCCAACTACAGAGGAACTAGCCTTCCTCCCATCGTATATAAAGTGTTACCCAGTGTGCTGTGTGAACGATTGAATCCAATGGTCAATGAAATTATTGGACCATACCAATACGCCTTCAGACCTGGCAAATCCGCCATTGACCAGATTTTCACTCTGCGCCAAATTCTGGAAAAGACGCACGAAAAACACATCGACACATATCACCTATTCGTCGACACTAAAGCCGCATTCGGAGATTTTTAAAGTCATATATGCGTTCGGCATTCCTGCAAAATGAATACGGCTATGCAGTTAAAATCGGAAAGGACCTATCGGAGCCCTTCAATACCGAACGAGCATTCTGACAAGGTGACAGTTTGTCGTGTGATCTTTTTAACATCCTGCTGGAAAAGGTCATACGAGACGCAAAGGTGAACAGAAATAGCACTCTGTACACCAAACAACACATGTTACTCGCCTACACCGATGACATTGATATTATGGGTCGAACATTTCGAGCGGTAACAGCCATCTTTGAACAAATTGAGAAGGAGTCTGTCAAAGTAGGTCTGGCAGTAAACGGCGAGAAGACCAAGCTGATGGTATCAACGCGCAAGACGTCCAGTAGACTCGGACCAACTGTGGAACTTGAGATCTACAGCTTCGAACTACAGCTTCGATAAATAAAACGAATGACATCAGTTTTGAAGTTCAGAGAAGGATTGTTATGGCCAACAGATGCTACTATGGTCTAAGTAAACAGTTTAGAAACAAGGCCACCTCCTGCCAGACCAAACTCACACTTTACAAGACGCTGAAGATACTTGCGCAAGCAGATGAGGCAGCTCTTGGGGTGTTTGAAAGAAAAATTCTCCGAAATATCTATGTCGACGGTGAGTATCGGTGTCGAATGAACCACGAGCTTTACAATTTTTACATGGACATCGACATATACAGACGTATTGAGCTGCAGCGACTACGGTGGCCAAGCCATGTTCTGCGAATGAATGAGAATGCCGCAGATCAAAAGGCCGCGAAATCCTAGACCCACCTTTAAGTATACCGATCGTCATATCTCGACTAGCTGCGTCGATCTAGACATGTGTGTCTGTGCGTCCGTCCGTCTGTCCATTGTAATTTGTAAACACGATGCAGGTCACAGTTATGGACCAATCTTCACGAAATTTTGCATGCAGGATGGCTTCTGACCAATGAATACCCCTATTGTTTTTGGTAAAGATCGGTTAATATTAAGGGATGAAATGGACCAAAAACTTTATTTTTGTTTGATTTTCTGGTCACTCCAGCGGCCGCAATTATGACCCAAACATAGCGAATTTTTATATGGAGAAGGGTATCGGGACAAAGAATAAGCATACCGGTTTTGATAAAGATCGGTCAATATTTAGTGGGTCAAATGGATCCTGACCTTTGTGTAAAAAATGATAAATTTTGTATTCTATAGCGTATATATTAACTTCTGAAGGAAATAGAGCCGAGAAGTTTATAGTATACCCACGAGGAGTGGTTGGTCTTTAAATTGATACCAATTATATTTTCGTATGTACTCGGATGTGGGAGTTACACGTAAATATTTACAGGTGCTTACGAATTCATATATTATTTAGTAGCCCATTACCATACTGGAGGACGGAAATATGGCGCTGATCGCTTTGAAATTTTCCATGAGGATCCAGGTATGGTCAAGGGCAAGGCCTTTAATTTTCGGTGATGATCAGATAATAATATTGGGATGAAGTGGACTTAATTTTTTGTGTTTTTTTCGGGTCGATGTATATGCCACAATTAAAAGCCGAACATAACAACACAATGGCGAAGGGAACATGGACAAGTAATTAAATGGAATGTAATATTCGGAAAATATATCAGTGTAATGAAGAGATGCTTTTGACTTCTAATCGGGCAAGAGGGTGCAGTTATCACGAAATATTGCCCTGGCTCGGAATAAATATCCACAGTCGGCCGCGTCCGACTATACTGCTCCGCTCACTGGTTTAATAATCTACATATAGGAACTTTAAAATGTTTTAAAAATATTATGCTCATAATTACGACTTGAAAAATATTTTCTACGCTAATATTCAATTAGACTTAACGGACGAAATTTATTTGTCAGCCTTTCTGAAATTCAGTTATAAATATGTATTTCCCTTTTTCATTTATTTTTGCTTGAAATTAAAAATCATATTTTATATGTCCTCGCCCACGCACACACGCATATAAATTATCTTCATCAACAATGAAGTTAATATATTCCAAAAACATAAAATTTATTATATCTATTTGTTGCTACAGCTGTTGCCATTATGATGAAAAATAAATATTACAAAATGTTGATTCATTGTCTCTTCAATTAATTCATCTCTTTCCCCTCTCCATCCGCCAACACTAAATTAAATCATTTTGTTGGAAAAATTATTATTTCAATTAATTATAGGCAACACTAATAATAAAAATTGAAAAAGAAAATACGCGCACAAAAAACTCGTCTTTTCAAAATATTATTCTAACAAATTGAATAAATAAAAGAGACTTGAAATTACTATTTCCTGATTTCATTCTAATATCGCGCATCTATCTATCTAAAATATTTATCTATGAGTAATTGCCATTGCAAACTTTATCCTTTTGCAGTGGGAAAGTTAGTTGAGTTTGAAATGTGTGTGTGTGTATGTTCGTCGAATGTTCGCTCGCTAACTCACCCGTGCATTGTCATACGTAATTGTGGTAATGTGCAGCGATGCGTATACGCAACGTTGTCTATTCGATTCGACGACAACGATGACGACGATATATGGAAATTATGTTTGTCGTCTATTTGCCAGGAACGAATGAATGCATGAATATTCCTGCAACAAGCCAAAGAGTCATTTTGGAGTCTGTCTTGAGACAGACAGCCAGGCAATCATTGAACCATCCTCACCAACCACCCACAATATTTTTGCGACACACATCTCCGGAAGCTACGAAAAAAATCGTGCAACTCCTCTATTACACACACAAACACTAGCACTTGAATGTGTTTTTTTCGCATGATGCTCATAAATTCATATTCAGTTTCCAGAGGAGACAAAAAAAAACTCCAAGCTAGCAGTGCAATGGGAATATGCGATAACTAAATTATGCATTATAAGGCTCTTCATTATGTCAGGGCATATATGCATCCGAAGCAGTCAGTCAGAACGTTCGGTATGTCTGTCTGTCATTGTGTGTTTTTTGGTTATGGTTGCTTTGCTTGGCTGCATACATTTGTTTTCATCTCTTACACGCACACATACATAGCTTATAATTGTAGTCTACTATTACGACTACTGCCACTGCCACTTACCTCTTCATGTTCCCGTTGAAATTTCTCCTTTTTACGCATTGCCTCTTGTACTTTTAACTGTAAAAAATGAAGAAAAAAGAGAGAATGAAACAACAACAATAAAATACAATCAGCATCTTAATGACAATAAAGTAGGAAAAACAACAAAATTCAATTACTGCTATTTAGAAAACGAACAGCATCAGCAGCGACAACAACAACAAGAAGTAGCAGCAAACGAACTTAAGTGTATATATGTATGTGTGTGAGTGTGTGTAAAAGTTGGCATAACAGAAGTGATCACACACACATTTATACATATACACATTTGGAGATAAATACAGATGGTAGCCGTTTTATAGTGGGGATCATTAGAATAGAGAGACATGTTTTTATAGTTTCTAACATAAAGCTCTCCCAGGTCTTTTTTCCTAAGGACTATTTTTTTAGAAAAAAAACTCCTCCATAATAGCTGATGCCTGCTCTTTTTAGAGAAAAAAATCAACTCGCCTAGAAAAAAACTAAAGGACCTGAACAATATTTAAAAAATCTAGGCATATACTTAAGGCTTAAAAAATATTAAAAAACTTATAATAGATGATTAAAACCAATTTTTTATAATGGACTTGAAAAATTTTTATAAAAAATCTCCGTTTATAACTGGGTCTTCAAAAACTATATACAAAATCGATGGTTCTAATTACGAATTCAGCATTAGCAAACATTATTATGTAGCAGTCCAGTTCAACAACAACACATTATTTATTTATATTACATTATAACACTAATATTACAATCGATATTTATGCTATTCATTATTATGTTAACTAGACTGTTAGGTTACATCCTGTAAAGAAAGCTATGTTAGCCAGTAAACAGCACTAACACTAGTATAACAGTTTGGAATGCTTTCACTCAAAGGAGCAACTAACACATATTCTCCTGCTCTCACGATAGTTATGCTTCTTCTATCGCTTAACGAAGAAGGGCAACTTATTGTTGTTGTAATTGCTCTCATTTATTAATATTTTTAACGAAAATCAATATTTATTTCTCAATTGATCTCAATATTTAATTTTACGCTCACCCACATATACTTAAATGACTGTCATGTTTTTTTATGCAAATTATGCTCTCGTGTAATGATTATGCTACAATTTTAAGTTAAGTTCTAGACGATGTAATTGATTTGACTAATGGTTAGCTGGTCACAGAAATGATGTTGCATCGTTCTATTGCGATAGAGCTGTGAATAATAAAGGTTTGAATTGAAAACAAAGTGTTTTATTTTGGAAAAACCAAATAAAATAAAATATATGCTAGACTTTGGAAGCCTTAAGGCTACAACAGCAAGCATCCTGTAGACGAATACTGTCAGAGTTTGACTTATTCCGTCTCAGCATAAATAATAAAATTAATAAAAATATAATAAAGGGTGATTTTTCCAAATCTGAAGATTTCTCCCCTTACAATTAAAAAAACATAATAATAGCCATGGCTTAAAAAATTGTCCTAAAAAGCTTACTCCTATAACTGAGGCTGGAAAAAGTATTAATAACCAGAGAGCGGTGCAGTATAGTCGGGCGGGGCCGACCATATGATACCCTACAAAACTTCCACGAAAATCTTACATTCTGTGGTACTGCATTCTGAGCTTGGGCAATTTTTTGTGATATTTGCACCATCTTGACCGACTAGAGGTCAACACATATTACTCATATTCAGTACAGCTCTTCAAATTACTCTGTCCAGATTCCCTTCACCGTATGTTGTGTTGTGATGTTCGGCTCTCAATTGTGGCCTATAGATCGACTCGAAAAAAAAAACAAAAAAAAAATAAGTTTTCGGTCCACTGCATCCCATTATTATTATCTGATCATTTCCGAAAATTTTTGGCGTTATCCTTGACCATACCTGGATCCTTCTTGAAAATTTCAAAGCGATACGCGCTATATTTCCGCCTCTGGTGTGGAATGGGTTACTAAATAATATCTCAATACGTAAGCACCTGTAAACATTTTAATGTAACTCCCACATCCTAGGACATACGACAATATAATTCGTATCAATTAAAGGTCAACCACTCCTCTGCATTATAAGGCTCTAACATCAAAATCAGGGCTAAATATATATGCCATAGAATACAAATTTTGTTATTTTTCACACAAAAGTCAGTGTCCATTTGTCCCACTAAATGTTGGCCGATCTTTATCAAAACAGGCATGCCTATTCTTTGGCCCGAACCCCTTCTCCATGTAAAATGTTTTGGCCTCTGGAGCGACCAGAAAAAACCGATAAAAATTAACTATTTGGTCTATTTCATCCCCTAAATATTAACCGATCTTTACCAAAAACAATAGGGGTCTTCATTGGGCAGAATCCCTCCTACATGCGATATTTCGTAAAGATTGGTCCATAACAGTGGCCTGTAACGTGTTTACAAATTATAATGGACAGATATAATGAGAGATATCGCGGGGTTACAAACTCTTGGGGCTGCACAAAGCTTTAATATCCTGACAAAATAGTTCAAAATATGGTTCAAAAATATGATAAAACTGCCCAGATCTTTTCCTCAGTTCCTCCATAAATTTTCTATTGAAACCATTGTTTACCCCTACTAGAGACTATTTTGACTATGGTGTAAATTCTTCAGCCTTCTATGTAATATTTGACCGTGGGAAAAATTTTTCTATGGAAAAAATGTATCCGCCTTCTGTGGAATATTTTTATATAGAAGCACACTTGAGATATAAAGTTGAATAGAAAAAATTCTCAGTTTACGAAAGATGGCTGCCTATAAAAATAATTCTTATGCTTTTCAAGTCTATTTCATGTGTAAAAAAAATGCCCCAGGCCTTTAAAGACAAATTTTTGTAGAAAAAAATCGTAACCCTTCTGAGGGCTACTTTTTTTTAATTTTCAAACTTTTAAGGTCTCTGAGAACTATTTTTTTTATTTGGGTAAAAATTTTAATTAAAACAACTCGGAAGACCGTTTTTCTATAAAAACAATCCTATACCTTCTAAAGAAAAATAATTCCATTAATGGTAAAGAAAAAATTCTCATTCCTTTGAGGATTTTTTTTTCTAGTTTTTTCTGCAGAAAAAGTCCTGCGGAAAATATATTTTTCATAGAAAAAAGTCATTGTGATGAGGTCTATTTTTATGGAAAAACAAATCTTCAGGTCTCAGAGCTCACTCTGCCAACTGGGCACTTCATTTTATACCCTCAGCCTAATGTCTAAGGAGGGTATACACTTTGCAGCATTAAAATCGTGCCTCATCGAAATATTAGTTTTATACCCCATATTTCTTTTGTTGGGCCAAATCGTTCATTAATTTTTAAATATAAAAAAATCTGAGGACTAGTTTTTCTAAAGGAAAAAAATCTCAGTACTGTAAGAGCTATTCCTCAGCCTTCTGAGGACAAAACAAAAATATACCTCTCCCTGAGCTGTTTTTGACCCAGTTATATGAAGGCTGCCCGCTGATGACTATTTTTTAATATCCCTAATATTCGCAATGTATTGTTCGAGCAGTAATCCTCATGGAAAATTTTAAGACTTCATGTCGGATACTACATTCAAATAGCTTATACCCCATTAATTATCCTTTTTTAAATACACTATTATATAAGCAAAATATTTTCCCCGCAAAATTACCTCCCTGAAAATATTTTCTGATTTTTATTAGACCTTACCCAAATTGCATACACTGTAAGCATATTAAGAGAATGCAAAAGAATGCTCTAAATAGGTATGCTTAGTCATAAATTTATGTGCTGGTGCGGCTGTTGTGCCAAGAAGGGTTCCACACCAAATATGGCAAAAGCGGTTATTTCTAAGAAGCTTGCAAACAATACTAATAATAACACCTACCTACCTACCGAACGTTCTCGCCGCACCTCGTGGCATCTAGCAGCAGCTTAAGAACTTTTGTAAAATAGAACAGACAAACACACACACTCATACGCACATCAACCAACCAGCCAGCCAAGCTAGCAATTCAACACAATGTGTCTTAGAACATTTTCTCTTTAGATGTTGCTGTTGTTGTTGTTTTTTTCGTTTGGTTTGGTTTTTTGTTGTAAATCGCTTGAGTACCATTTTGACACCCGCACAACGCACAACTGTAATTTATACTTAATTAAAATGAACTTTTCCCCACACATAGCAAAAACCGAACTTACAAAGAACAAATAAAAAGAAGAAGAAGCAGAAAAAGAAGAAGAAAAAATAGCAACAACAACAAAAAAGGAGTTCAAGCTCTCTAAAACATGGCGAAAGGAAGAAACTTTAAACGTAGGAAACACAAAAAGTGGAGAGGAGGAAACTAAGCAGGAGCAGAACAACAAGGAAGATTGCTAGACAGACAGGACATGCAAGGTTGGAAATTTTGGTGGAGCAGAATATATGGCGGGATACAAAAAGGGAAGGCAATAACAATGTAAGCCTTTTTCCCAACGATATGAGACAACGATGCCACTGACGATGATGCTGGGTACGTGTATAGGACGATGACGACGACGACAACAGGAATGGTGTTGCTGATAGCTGATGATGATATGCAAGAAAAGTAGTCGCAAAGTAGCAAAGTGTACTTATAGTTTGGTTATTGCATTTAAATGATAAGGCATTTTTAGAGCATCGTGCAGTGGCAGCAAGAGCAATGGCAACAACAACACCACCACTGCCAACCAGATAACAACCAGCCATCAACAATATCAACAAAACGCCGACAAGTGTAAAACAATTTACAAAGTGTGCGGTCGGTATGCGCGCAAGCATACCGCATACACTTCGCTCTAACTTACACAATTAGGAGCTCAAACAGGGAGAATAAGAAGTAGAAAAAAACCAACGATGACGACAAAAGATTCTTTTAGGACAAAATGACATACATACACACAGCAGTAATACATTATACCGCACTTACACACACATAGGAAAAAAATAGGACGAGTAGAGAGATTAAAACACTTTAACAACACAAACATTGAAAACTATTCTTTATGGGAGAGAAAACGAAAAAAATACCACTCTGGTACAAGAAGGTATCACACGCAAAAAACCAGGG